CGTGCAATCCGTGCACCATGCCGATTTTTCGAAACTGGTCTAGTAAGTGCATATATTTATAGGCCGTCGTTTGAAGTCGAGCACAAAATTGTCGCTTCGATAAAATTGTTTGCGTTTATCGATATCTTTTATCTATACCGTCGCCTGGGTAAAATATTGTCGTAAGCGCCATGTTGACGATTTTTAGTTATAGATGCAGTTATATATTTCAAAATAAGACCTTTCGATTTGAGATATCAGTTTTTGGATATACCCGTTAGTTGCCGGGATATTGATTAAAATTTTGTCCGTCATTTAGCACAAATTTAGCTAATAATGCAACCTACTAAGCTAATTGGGATCTTTCAAACAATAAAAATAAAATTAATTGAGAATTTCGTGAATCAGTAACACCTGCTGAAAGTAAAATTCGACAATATTTTATCCAGGCGACTGACTATATGTTAATAGATATCTATCGTTAGCGAAATTAAAATAAATTGATGTAAAAATTATTATTTATTGATGATAAAAAATTTAATTGTTCGAAATGCAACCCAAACTGCAATACATAAGCTCTTTATCGGTTTTCGAATTCGACATGGTCCTGACAATATTTATAAAAAAATTTAATGACATATTAAATTTTGATTTTTTCACACTTCTAACTGCCTCTTTATTATTCTTTTCAATTTGCCAATTTATAGTTGACGATATCATATTTATTTTTACATACTATATATCAACATAAATAGTCGTTGTTTTTGTGAGAAGAATACAAAAGCCCGGACAAAGTGTAGGTATCTACTTGGTATACTAAAACAAAACAAAGCAAAAATATCACAAATTATCTTAACAAAAATACATATTCACATAAATTTCGGAAGGTTAAAATTAAAAGAAAAAAAGTTGCGAAAAAAGTAAATGAAAAATGAAAAAGCTCGAGTCATTTTGGTCTTATATACATGAACATACTACTGCATACTGTGCCCACTCATTTTATACAAAAAAAAATGGAGAAAAGCTGTTTTTCTGTATTTTCTCAATACGCAAAAGTTGTGTACATACATACATAGTATATATTATTAAAAATAAAATTTAAAAATTTATGAAACTACCTAGCACTGCGCATGAGATACATATGTAAGACCCACACAGGCTAACCAATTAACAAAACAAAAATCTATAAATAAAAACAAATTCGGTTTTAAACAGCTGATTGAATTGAAATAGTAATACATATAAAAATTATACATTCCGTTAGTAGTGGCGCATAAAAATTCCAAAAAGTAAGCAAAACTTTGAAAAAACAGCAAAAACATAAGACATAGTAGTGGAAAAAGGTCAGCGACAAATTTCTTAACATATTTTTAGGCCATTGAGCCCCTAACATAACAAGGGAAGAAAACTCAAACAATTGGAGAAGTAAAAGCAAAAAACAAACAAGCAAAAACTCGTATACACATACAAGAGCAGCAACTAAGATGCAAAATTCTAATATTCGAGCGACAAAAAGCAAACAAATTAAACAAAAAATATTACCGAAAACAAAAGAATGCATATCATAGTTGTAAAAAAAGAAAACAATAAATTCGGAAAGCAAAGTAAAACCAGTGAAGAAAAGCAAGTATAAATATTCTTACTGATTATTATTATGATATGAGTAACTGACTATTATAACAGACTACAAAAAAGTACAGAACAAAAAAGGGGAAGATGAATTTTAAATACGACTAGAAGAAAGCACATAGCGAAATAAAAACAAAAGTGTGAAAGGCGTTAAAAAAGGAAATTTGTTAGCGATATTAAGAGTTGAGAGCGAAGGAGAAAGAAAAAGAAGTGGTGCCATTTGAAAACTAATACACAACAAAAAAAATATTAAAAAGACGCAAAAATACTTGAAGTATCCATCTTCAAGTTTATTATTTGATCAAAGGAAATGAGAAGCAGGCAAAATACATACATAGTAATTGTGTATAAACAAATGCTTAGTAGCGTTAACACCAGACAACACAATTTTTCCAAAAGCAAAATTTAAAAAGCCAACTCTATGAGAAATAAAAACGATAAATTATAATAACAGCAAACACTAAAAAAAAAGTTCACGCACATTTTCACACGACACGTGGGCAGGGTGTGTGATGAGGCTTTGCCGTTGTGAACTCAATTAAGTTACAGTGTATAAAAAGCAAACAAAATATTAAAACAAAAATATGTAATAAAAATTAAATTATACATTGCATAAATACAAGTACACACACACACACACACATATAAGTACACAAAAGTAAAAATTAATACAAATATAAAGAAAGAGAAATGATTGAGAGAATGATAAAAACTATAAAACTGAAAAATAAATAATAAAAAAATGAATACAAAATCTCTTTTAATTCATCTGAATGTAGTGGAAGAAGCAAGATTGCGTTATTTTTTATCGTGTATAGGGCTGGCACCATTCGTATATTCATGTGTACATATAAAATCCGGATATCCGGGTAAGGTGCGATCTTCTTTTGTTATCCGGATAACTGGTTGATATCATTTCATTTTGTTACCCAGATATCCGATTATTCGGATTTTTTAATCAATGAATGAATATTAAAAAGAACCGAATATAACTCCCAGACCTAATCTCGAATATTGAAATAAAATAAAATTTAAATAAAAGTCCGTGCAAACAGTCGTTGTACGTCACAATGCCGTACGACCGTAGTTCGCAACCTTTTTCCACCGGCAACCAACATTTCTCTATCGTTATACCTTCACGGTCCATCGGTCCATGGGGGAGTAAAAAACCCAAATTTGTGTCGCATACCTTCCTTATGTATATAAGTACATATCATACACCATCAAATATTGCTAAAATATACAAATACAATAGGCTGGTCCTTAAAAATGAATTTCAAACCGCCGAGTGAAGTATGCAGTTTTGTAGCCCATTAAATTTTAGTATAATAAGGTGCAAGTTTCAAGTCTATAAAAGTTACCATTGATTTTTGAGAATTTTTTTTTTGTCGAGGGTGTTGATCATTTTCTTCCATATAAAAATAGATTTTGTTACTACGGTATATGGGAGAAAATGCGAAACACCCTTGACAAAAAGAATTCTCAAAAATCAACGGTAATTTTTAGCGGCTTGAAACTCACACTAAAATTAAATGGACAACAAAACTGCATACTCAACATCTTTCGAATTGAAAATTTGAAAATTTTGATGAAAATTTTTTGATGTTTCTTGAATTTTCCCGAGTTCTATGTATATAAAATTTAAAAAATTGATTCTTCTGTAGAATGAACTATATTTTTATAACAAATTTAAAAAAAAGTTTGGTATGGGATATATAAACAAATAAAATCGTCAAAACGTCAGGGTATTCATATTTTTGACGCTGGCTGTATATCGTTCCGGATTGTACTGTGCGGTATCATATCTTCACGCATGTTTAAGCAAGTGTTAAAAAGACATTTACATGTACATTCCCAAAATGTCTGACGCATATTCGTTGATATCTATGGTAACTACAAGTATTCTTATAAATTTTTTTTTTTCGTAATCAGTCCAACCACAACTTAGAGTTCCCTCGACTTCTCTTTAAGAAGGTATTTTTCGGTTGTTCTTAAAAAAAAAGGCACATATTTTGGATAAGTAATGGAGTTATAAACAAATTATTCAACGATTCAACGATAGGTTGAAGAATTGTTTCAAAACTTTGTTCTCAACTTACTTTGCACATTTTTTAATCCATTTTACCTTTTGAGCTTATTTCTTTCCTACAGCTTAGAATACAGCTCTTAAGAAAAACGGAAAATTTCATATATAATGACACTCAAGAAATAAAAAAGAAATTTTCTTCTATCAATATTTAATAAGCCAGTTTAAGGATCCCAAGAAAAAACTCCTCATATATTATTTCTTCAAAAAAAATTTCCACCAACGGCAAAGTACGGCAAAGATGTATTATAAGATTTACCATTAACTTTCTAATTTTTAGGGAAAGTTTTTTTTAGTGCAGGTATAGTGTAAGCTCTAGATTTTGTGATGTCGTGTAATTTAAGGACCACCTTGCGAACTGGTTCTGCAACAACAACGGAGTGGATATTTTAGGTTCAAATCTTAATTGAGACTTTAGTGCGTAATCGACTTTTCAAAATGAAAATTTTGGCAACTACTTAGAATTAAGAATTCTCTCTAAATGGCAGCGAATGTCTAAGTTAATAAGCACTCAGAGTCCGATAGTGAAATTATTTTATTATGACTCTCATAAAGAATTCGTCGGCTGATTGAAAGATCGCCCTAAACGCCTTATCTCAGCAAATGGTTTAAGAACGCCCTTTCTCAGAATTTGGTTCTAAAACGCCCTATCTCTGCTGAGATTGGACGTTTGTGAACCGTTTGCTGAGATAGGGCATTTTCGAAGCAGCAGCTGAGAGCTAGTGATCTTCCACTCAGTCGTCGAAAAGCAATCATATTTTAAGATACATATTTCGGCATGCTTCCTCTTTTTGACTACATACTATTTACTCTCTTTATTTAATATATTCATCTATGTAGTAAACCTCTATTAATATGCCTTTTTGAATCATTTTACATATATATGTATTACTTATTTATGTACTGTTGTTTGTGAATCTAAATGTTTTCAATTCCTAATGTTTAAATATGTCGGCAACGCAATCACGGTAAGCTAATTAAATAAAATACAGCTGCATAATATTTTCCCTTTATTTGAAAATAAAAATAGTAAAACACAATTAGCGTAAATGCCAAAAAAAATAGATTATTCCAAAAACAAAACAAAAGAAATTCATAATACTTATATTTGGTCATGAAAATAATTTTTTGCCGCCATTAGAAATCAAAAAAAAAATTATTGGACCCTTTTCATTTTTATTAATTGTTTAACACTTTCGAACCACTTCATACAATATTTTTTTTTTATATTTAAACACCGAAGCTTACATTTTTATCCAGTATTTTTTACTAATTTACGTTATTTACAATTTTTTCCCCCACATAGCTCTTTCGTCACTTTGGTTCACCTTTCAACGCCATGGGAAATGGCAGCAGCGCTGCTGTAGCTGCCGCTCACTGTCCCACACCATTCGCCTTTCCATTTACACCGTTCGGCCTGAGCCTATTCGACATTGATCCGTCCAGAATTTTGGGTATGCTCCGGCATCAGACGTGGCTGGCCGAAGAGGCTTTAAAGTAAGCAAACCTCTGTTAAATAAGTATTTAGTTTGGAGTATGTATTTTCATGTCTAAGTTAAAAATCGTCTTCCCTCCCTTGCAGAAGTCGCAATTTGCTAAATACGCCTAAGGACTTTTCCCACCGTTTCAATCCCATCGGCGAAATGTTCGCCAAGGATTTCCAACCAAATCATTCGCAAGCCACCACTGCCGAATTGCTTGCTGGCGTAGCAGCACCGAACAACAATCGGACCAGCGCTGTAAGCCCAGTAAAGCAAACAACATCACCACAACAACAGCACCCACTGCAACATCAATCTGAGCGTAACTCAATACCGCAGCAGCAACAGCAGCCACAACAGTACAAACAGCAACACCATCAGCCACCGCAGCAGCAACCAAGTTTTAACGTGCGTTATCCTTCACCAGCTGCATTTTTCCATCATCAACAACAGCAGCAACATGTGAAACAAAAGTCCTGCCATCAAGGCACACCATCACCTCATACCACAGCCACCTCCACGCAATCGAAGCCAGATACCACACCTGCAGCAGCCACACCGCACAGCGAGACACCGGACGACGATGCGGTAATAGAACTTACCACACACGATGACGCACGCGACAGTGGTCGTGAAAGCGCTGTACATACGCCCAACAACAGTACGGGCACATCTAGTGGTCTCGGCACCTCTGCTGCTACCAGCGCTTGCTCGCCGCTGCTTTACAAAGAATCACTCGAACAACTGCTGCAACGTCGTCGGTCCGGCTCCTCGCTCGGTGGCGTAAGCGATAGCTTGCGTTCATACACACAGCTGTTGCTCTCCTCGAGCACGCCCGGTGGCACCGATACGTCCAGCTGTAAGGAGAAAAGCTCCTCATCGTCTACCTCATCAACACCACCACCCACCTCAGCGCTGTTGGCGCAACACCAGTTGCTCACCCAACGGCTGAACAGTCCATCGGAGACGTCGTCACTCTTTGGCGAAACGATCGAAGAAGAAACGCGTTGCGTCAACTGCAATGCACACTTTCCGAATGTGTGGCTGTTGGAGCAGCATGCTGCCCTCCAACATCCACACATTGGACCGGGCGAGGAGAAACCATTCATTTGCGAGCAATGCGGCCAATCGTATCGCTATCGTTCCGCCTATGCCAAGCATAAAGAGCAAAATCATCGCGCCCGCTTGCCGGCCGACAAGCTCTTCACGTGCGACGTCTGCGGCATGCAATTCCGTTATCTCAAATCGTTCAAAAAGCATCGCCTCAATCACGCGCTGGAGCGCTTGCACGGAAAAAAAGGCGTGATCGGCAAACATTGCCTAACACCAGCGCATATGCTGGGCGAACAGGATGTGGTAACCAGCTCGCAGGAGCCGATGGTGGCCGACGAGGGTGGTGAAGATTTACGCATCAGCGTGAAGCGCGAACAAGATGATGATGAACGTGAACAGCAAGAACGTGAAGATCAGGATTGCACCATTGATTCGGCTGGCCTGATGATCTACACTGATAACAACAATTCGACGGCTTTAGCCACAACCAGCATCGCAGAGGCGAACATTAGCAGTTCAGATGGAATTCATAGTACAAATAAGGGGGTGAGTGAAAATTTCTAGAAAAA